ACAACCCCCACTTGCCTTCACACACACACAACCACCCTGCTCTCCTATACAACCACACACAACCGCCCTGCTCACCTCCACACACACAACCCCCACTTGCCTTCACACACACACAACCGCCCTGCTCACCTTCACACACACACAACCCCCTACTCGCCTTCACACACACAACCGCCCTGCTCTCCTATACAACCACACACAACCGCCCTGCTCACCTTCACACACACAACCCCCACTTGCCTTCACACACACACAACTGCCCTGCTCACCTATACAACCACACACAACTGCCCTACTCACCTTCACACACACAACCCCCTACTCACCTTCACACACACAACCACCCTACTCACCTATACAACCACACACAACCGCCCTGCTCACCTTCACACACACAACCCCCTACTCGCCTTCACACACACACAACTGCCCTGCTCACCTTCACACACACAACCACCCTACTCACCTTCACAAACACACCGCCCTAACCTTCACACACACAACCACCCTACTCACCTTCACACACAACTGCCCTACTCACCTTCACACACACACAACTGCCCTACTCACCTTCACACACACACACCGCCCTACTAACCTTCACACACACACCGCCCTACTAACCTTCACACACATACCGCCCTACTCACCTTCACACACACACCGCCCTACTAACCTTCACACACACACAACCACCCTACTCACCTTCACACACACACCGCCCTACTCACCTTCACACACACACACAACCGCCCTACTCACCTTCACACACACACCGCCCTACTAACCTTCATACACACACAACCACCCTACTCACCTTCACACACACACCGCCCTACTCACCTTCACACACACACACACACCGCCCTACTCACCTTCACACACACACCGCCCTACTAACCTTCACACACACACAACCACCCTACTCACCTTCACATACACACCGCCCTACTCACCTTCACACACACACACACACCGCCCTACTAACCTTCACACACACAACCGCCCTACTCACCTTCACACACACACCGCCCTACTCACCTTCACACACACACCGCCCTAACCTTCACACACACACAACCGCCCTAACCTTCACACACACACCGCCCTACTCACCTTCACACACACAACCACCCTACTCATCTTCACACACACACCGCCCTACTCACCTTCACACACACACAACTCCTACTCGCCTTCACACACACACAACTGCCCTACTCACCTTCATACACACAACCGCCCTACTCACCTATACAACCACACACAACCGCCCTGCTCACTGTCACACACACAACCCCCTACTCACCTTCACACACACAACCCCCTACTCGCCTTCACACACACACAACCGCCCTACTCACCTATACAACCACACACAACCGCCCTACTCACCTATACAACCACACTCAACCGCCCTACTCACCTTCACACACACAGAACCCCCTATTCGCCTTCACACACACACAACCCCCCTACTCACCGTCACACACACACACACAACCGCCTTACTCACCTTCACACACACAGCCACCCTACTCACCTTCACACA